GTGTGTGTGTGTGTGTGTGTGTGTGTGTGTGTGTGTGTGTGTGTGTGTGTGTGTGTTTATATATATATATATATGATTTAACCAGGTAGATCTCCCTTAAATTTAGATTTTTATGGGAGACTTTAAAGTGTCCCTTAAAAAAGGAGATTTTAAGGTCTAAATTTTTTACCTATACATATTTATTCCACTCAATTAATGTGTGATTTATTTATTTTCTATTATAAGTTTTATATCGTCATATATAGTTACCGCCACTCATCATAATGTATATCGTGATATGAATTTTTTGTCATATCGCACATTCGTACCCTAGAGTACACTATACTGATAAGAGTCTCAAATAAAAATCTTAATAATCTAATTTGTCCCTTCTGACTGGTTGATAAAGACAGAAACTCACATCAATGATGAAGTCAGTGAACGGTTTGAGGCTCTCTGGGTCTTCTTTGCTCCTGCAGAGTTCCCGCCTGTGTTTGACCAGGAATAAAGCCAGGTTCCTCTCCTCCCGGGACACCTTCAGCCGGAGGTCCATCTTCTCCACCTCCTCTGTGCAGCGGAAGAGAGCAGCCAAGATGGTCATGGGCTTGGGAGAGTGGTCTTTGGCGTTCTGCCACACACGCTTCATCTCTTCAACGTTGCCATCTGGAGGTAAACCTGAGGTGGAGCAGAGAAAAACACAGACAGCTAGCTTTACTCTAAACCAAAACACTGTTTTTAATCTTCTTTATGACATTTGAAAACTGTGTCACTTCCATTTGTGTGCATGTACATGTTTTTCCTACCTGGTGGGGATGACTTTTGACCATTTTCCTGGTACACACAGCCTAGAGCAGTGGTTCATAAAGTTGGGGTCGGGACCCAAAGTGGGGTCCTGAAAATATTTTCTAAATTAATTACATTTTTGCCTTAGTTGTTACTTAAAATGCATAAATGTAGAATAATAAATATTCTTAGTATGCCCATGTTTAGTTGACCTGATATATATGTTTATCATCCAAAAATAGTTGTGGGCACAGGTCTCTGCAACTGTTATTTTGTGGGTCAAAAGCTGAAAAGTTTGGGAACCACTGCTTCAGAAATCAATTTAAAGGGTAATAAAATAATTGGTGATGTAATATTTTCCCTATAATTATTACAAAAACACAAAATAAGTATAAATAAGTATTTATATTTGTGTATCCTTTGTTTTTAGGGTTATTAACAAAGTTCGTGTACTCAGACCAGTAATATTTGGGGTCACAAGTTTTTGTCATGAATATTTTGTGGGTCAGAAGATAAAAAGCTAGGGAACCACTGGACTAGAGGACTCACTGCTCTTAATGGGGACCTAAGCCTAGTCCTCTTTTGGTGAAATGCAGCTGGAGCCAGCCTGTTGATTTGTGTGTGCTGTAAGATGTAGTGGAATATGACTGAGTGTAGGCGTACTGATCGAGTAGAACTCAGCCAGTACACCGAGTGTTTGTCATGTGCTGTGCTTCACAGAGCAGGAGGAGTTCAGAGGAGGGAGGATTAAGCAGGCAGTGTGGTCGCTCGACAGCCGACTGGATGACGCGCCGTCACGTGGTTGTTCAGGGTTTGTTTTCACACCTTTCAAAGCTCCTCAGACACACCGCGCTGAGCTCCTGGGAAACCCCTCCCACTGCAGCATATGTCACTGCATGGGTTTCTTCCCGGTGGAGTCCAATCCGAAAAAATTTTTTAAAACAGTCAGAGACTCGTCACCTGACGTTATTTATTCACAAACTGGTTAAGCTCCTAAATATCAGTCATATTTCACCGTGAAAAATGTCCATTTCATCCCTTTTATGAGGTTTTGGCCATTTGACTCTATAAACTGTTGCTTCCTGGTACAACAGTCGGCTCTGGAAGCGAGTCGCTTTTCAAAAAAAATCTTTAAGCAAGTGGTTGAAGCAAAATGCAGCATCAGAGCGCTTTCAGCACAAACAAACACTCCCACAAACTTCTGACCAATCACACAATAAAGTTCGTATATGTTTTTATGTGGAGGGGGGGTGAAAATTCGACCCACAGGTTACGACAAGTAGTGCCGAAATGTCGACAATGCGAACAGAATGATGCAATTTTCGTCATGAAACTGCGACAGTTCGGCAGGATTTTGGTGGTTCATGAAACAGAGCAGGGTGAGAGTTAGAAGAGGGGTCAGGAATGGTTGGTGGTGTGGTCTGATAGGTGTATTTAGGATGTTTACAGTGGGGCTAATCTAATCAAAAGAAATTATTAGATTATTTAGAAGAAGGGTTAGGTGTGAATTGAGTTTAGTTAGGTTTAGGGTCAGGTATGTACCTGTGAGGTCAGGTTTAGGCTATAGAAATGGTCGGTAAATGAATGTAAGTCAATGCAAAGTCCCCATGAGGATAGAAGAACATGTGTGCATTTCTGTAAGCTTCAGAGCAGCAAACAACTAAAAAGCCGGCTTTTATAGAGTTGGTCACACTGATGATGATCAGGTTATCAAGAGTTTTCAATCAGCAGCAACTTTTCCTTTTAAATCTTATGAAAGCAACAAAAGTAGACTTCAGTTTTTCAATCACAGCTTTTCAAATTTGTCTTTCTTTTTATTTAATAAAGCGATGATGTGGAATCAGCTGTGGGCTTTTGTTCACGTTTGGATTTGAATCATTCAAAACTATAGTAAAAACCCTAAAATTACCAGAACTTTATATGGTCCTGTTTAATATAATCAGTCTGGCTTTATTTATACTATGAAGACAAACTGAATGATTGTATCTAAATGTGTTTAAATGCCACTCTGCCCATGTTTCTCACCTATATACTGAGCCAGCTCCAGATCATAGATCAGCTCCAGCAGATGAGCAGCATGGTTACCAACCATCATCTTCCTCAGCTCCACCCAGATCCTTTCTCCTGATATAGATGCCAGTCCTTGGCCATGTTTTCTGATGGCAGCCAGAGTCTCAGGCTCGTGATCGTCAGGCTTTAAAGCCACCCGGCCGTAAAACCTTGGATGAGGGGACGGAGCTCTGATCAATGCACAAGCCTCAAAACAAACAGCACAATTATTATTTATGGTTTGGATGATTGAGGCAGCCAACCTGAAGTATCTCAGGATTCTCAGGTAGTCCTCTTGTATTCTTTTTTCAGCGCTGCCAACAAAACGTACTTTATGGTTCTGGAGGTCTTCATAACCTTTAAAATAGTCGTATAATGTGCCATCAAGTCCTGAGAGAAGGAAGAAAGTCAAATCTTAAAAGAGGTTCCACCATCCTTACTCCTCGACACAGCTCATGTAGAGACTGAGGTGTTACCTAAAAACATGGAGTTAATGGTGAGGTCTCTCCGCTCAGCGTCTTTGTGCCAGTCGGTGGTGTACTCCACCTTTGCATGTCGTCCGTCTGTCAGCACATCTATCCGCAGTGTGGTCACCTCAAAGTTCTCATCGTGCAGCTGGAACAGATGACCGACAGATACACGAGTAAAGAAAGAGAATCCTGTTCCCACTGAGCCYTGAAGACGCTCGAACTCCCCACACTTCTGTCACCATCTTCACAACGCTCAAAATACTCTTACACTGCTTTAAGTTTTCATCACCAAAACATTTTAAAGTCCCATCATATTCTGACTGAGTGAATGTGGACATTTTACTAATTACGTCTGCATCCTTTGTGCTACAATTCAAGTGTCACAATCATTCAGAAGATGGGTGCTAGGACATTTAACTTTTGTAAGTTTTATACTTTTTTTAAAAAAACATTTCACTTTGTTCACACATGTTGAACTCATTTTTCAAAATCTGCTTCCACACACCAGCTCCATCTTTGTCTTATAATTTGAACTTTTACCTAGCCCTTTGCTATATTTTGCTTCTAGCTAGTCACATTTAGGTTCTAGATAGCRTTGGCAATTATTAGCTGTCTGTTTGTTACCTTTAGCTTTTAGCTAGCCTTTTGCTACTTGCAGCATTTCACTTCTTAGATTCTAGCTAAACTCCTAATTTTAGGTGTTATTTTATAGATTTTAGCTTTAGGTTCAGCTTCTTTGAGCTTTAGCAACTCAGTTTCAGCTTCTTAGCAAAGTCATTTGAAAGAAAATGTAAAGTATACTTTCTCTGGTTTGACTGCTAAATGTTTCAACAAACTTGAAAAGCCTAAAAAATCATGTAAACCTTAAAGATAAGTTAGTTTTATTCTGAACTTTTATTACTTTTATTACTTTTCATCCATTTGTGTCACCTTTAAACTCATTGTTCTTGTGATCCAGTATTACCTCTAAACTCACAGTTAGCTGCCTGATTGATGATTGAAGTTTAGAAAAATAATCAAGTTTCTTAGAAAGTTAAAGGCACAGTGTGTAGGATTTCGTCAATTCTTTTAGCCGAAATTGAGATAATCACTAATGACAATAATAAAAAACATGTCTAATCATTGCAGACAAAGACCTTGTTTTATTATTTTTACCTTATAAAAAGCTGTATATATCTCCATGGTCGCGGGTCGCCACACAGGCAGCCGCCATCTTGCACCGCCATCTTGTCTACGAAGGCTCATGAAGGACAAACTGCGGTGGCGGCGTCAAAAACGGTTTTAGTTGTAAAACTATAAATGTAATATTTGTTGTCTGTCATTGTAGCTGGGATAATTTTACTTATTAAAGCTCATAATCTTACCACTTGAAACATCACTAGCCCTGAAGCTGCTGGTAGACATCGCGGTTGGAATCATCAAAGGTTTTTGACACCTGAGAGACACCGTAGCAACTCCTTTGCGTTTGGAAGCGGGGGGTGGGGGGAGGACCAGGGAGGATGATTCTACCACTGAACCACTAGATGTCGCTGAAAACAACAAATCCAACACACTGTGCCTTTAAGGGCTTCACTTGATCTTACGAGATTTTTATGACGCTGTAGATTTTTTAAAATAAAATTTAAATATATAAAATGCAAATAAAATAAAAATAATGTTTGAAACTGAACCAAATCTTTGACATTAGCAGAGATGCAGCTGTATCAGCAATAATCCAGGTCCTAATTCTAAATCTGCACCAGCTTCTCCTCATTTCTCAGTCTCGGGTTTTATATTCTTATATCTCAAACTAGTTGTTAAAAAGGAACACAAGGTGAGAAAAGTGTATGCAAATTTATTCTTTAGCACTGAGCCTTTGACAAAACTGGATTCTTCTGACAAAAAAATATAAATTTATTGTGACATTGGGATGCAATTCTTAAATTTCTCCATGTTGGACTGTTTGCTTGTTTTAGTTTAATACCTGATGTGAAAATTACTCAAGTACTTTATCTTCCCTCTAAAAAAAATAAAAAAAATTCCACTTTATCTGATCAGGTTCCAGGTCTACGGTTCTGTAACTACATTTTTTTAATAATAATAATAAGACATATTTTACAAAATGACAAACGTAAGCATTTTAAATAAATTTCCTTTAAAATAATAATGTGTGTATACTGCTGAAGAAATTTATTGGGGTGTTTACTACTGAGTTTTAAAGACACTACACATTGTATAGTCTTTTATTAGGTGAACAGTAATGTATTTGTGCAGACTGGGTTGTGGGACTCTTGATCAGGGTCTCACAGACTCAGGAGGCTTTTAGTCAGATACATGCCTGATTTAAAAACAACACATAAGAACCGTGATTACACATTAGGGTGAGGAATAACGTCTGACATTTTGACTCCGTATAGAGGTAGCTGCCCCTTTAACATATGTCATGAGGCGGAGTCATGATGCAAAGAGGTTGGTTTCTGGATGTGTTTCCGGGGTCTGGTCACTGTTTAGCTGATGCCTGTCGGAGGCAGATTAAAACAAAAGCTAATCAGTCCACAGCAGTGTCCAGATGGTTTTGTATGGCTCACTCAAACATTCACATCATTATTAACTGGTATTAGATCTGAACAGGTAAAAGGTAACGAACATTGCTTATTTATTGCCATTTATTTATTAATTATTGCTTATTGGGGCGGCTGTGGCAGAGTGGTTAGGGGAGTCGTCCTAGATCCGGAAGGTCGCCGCTTCGATCCCCCCGTCCAGCTGTCTCAGTTGTTGTGTCCTTGGACAAGACACTTCACCCCTAATGCCTCTGCTGTGTGTCCCATCAGTGTATGAATGCGATTGGCACTGATTAGTCTCCATAGATGATTGTACGTGTTAGCTTTGTAGAGACCTAATAGAGTGCTGTGTGAATGGGTAAATGAGGACACAGATTGTAGTGTGAAGAGCTTTGAGTATCCTGGACGGATAGAAAAGCACTATATAAGTACAGTCCATTTACCTTTACCATTTATTTTTTTAACAGTGCTGTTCAACAAAGACTTTATGTACATAATTAAAGTCTTACAAGAAGCATTTTTAAATAAGTCCATCCACCCATCATCTACACTCACTTCTTTCTTTCATGGTCACTGGTGCCCAAATCCAGCAGTCACAGTGTGAGGAACAGGGTACACCTTGGACAGGTTGCAAGTCCATCACAGGGACACATAGAGACAAACAACCATTCACTCTCTCACTCAAACCTAGGGACAATTTAGAGTTATCAATTAACCCAACAGTCATGTTTTTGGTCTGTGGGAGGAAGCCGGAGTACCCAGAGAGAACCCACACATGCATGGAGAGAACATGCAAACTCTACCCAGAAAGGTCTCAGGGCTGGGATTTGATCCAGCGACCTTCTTGCTGAGAGGCATAAACTCTATCAACTGAGCCACCGTGACGCCACCATTTAAATAAGTCACAGAACCTAATTAGACTAAAACTGATTTTAATTTCTGTTTGAACTTTATCATCAATTTAAAGTTGTGTTCAAACTCAAAAATATCTGTGGTATACCTCAACTTACTGTTGGTTCAAAATTAAATCAAATCTAGAAGAAAAAAATATTCATATTTTACTTATTAACCGTTCCTGTTGAAACTGTTTTCTGGTGAAATTCTCATTCTGCTGCCACTCTCCGCTCCTGCTTCTTTTATCTTCAGTTTCACAGCTCAGCTCATCGATGAGCAACAGTTTTAGACATTCAAGTTAAATATTTAGCATTTATTTGAACCAACTTTAGAGCAGCTTTTAAAGCCCTGATTAAAAATCCAACATCCCCACTTTAGCTTCTTACCCTGGCTGTAATGGTGCCGTGACTCTCTCCTTTATTGTTGATCATCCTGATCCCTGCGTTCTGGAACATGTGCTTCATCTCCGCTGGAGTAGCCGTGGTGGCGAAGTCCACATCGGTGGGACGCGTCCCAGACAGCAGGTCCCGCACTGCGCCCCCAGCCATCCGCAGCTCATACTGGTGCTTCTCAAATATCTCTAAAGAAAAATAAAAATAAAAACATACCAGAAATATGTTTAGAGTAAAGACTTAAAATTATTATTTTTTATTGTACTCATTTTCCAGATGATATTCAGGTTAAAACTGAATAAAGTTAAAAACTATTATGAAAAACAATATTTTTGTGTTAGACAAATCTAATTGGATAATGTTCTTTTTGTTTCTTTACTTATATTCTGGTCAAAAGATATGAAGTTTACTTTAATTGTGTTTTTGCTGAAACTGTTTTTCTTCCACAGCATGAAACAAGTTGCAAAACCCAGTGACAACAATTACAATAAACAACATAGTTTGACAATTTAACAGCTTGTGAGTAAAAACTGCACTAGTTGTGCTCTATAAAATCCATCTTCATCTTTTTTCATCTTTTTCTCTGCAACATTTTGTTTTTGTGTTTTTCAGAGTGTAATATTTTCAGATAATTATTTATAAAAAAAAKAAAAGCAGAAAAAGCGAAACATGAGAAAAGCAAACGGCAAAGACATTTTTGTAGCAGTTTCATCTGCAATCAATTTGTTGACATTTATCTGATAGGAGATACAGATTCATGTTCATTTCACTGTGGAGCTAACTACAGTGGGGAAAATAAGTATTTAGTCAGTCACCAATTGTGCAAGTTCTCCCACTTAAAAAGATGAGAGAGGCCTGTAATTGACATCATAGGTAGACCTCAACTATGAGAGACAAAATGTGAAAAAAATTAGAGAAAATCATTTTGTCTGACTTTTAAAGAATTTTTTTGCAAATAATGGTGGAAAATAAGTATTTGGTCACCTACAAACAAGCAAGATTTCTGGCTGTCACAGACCTGTAACTTCTTTTTTAAGAGGCTCCTCTTTCCCCCACTCATTACCTGTATTAATGGCACCTGTTTGAAGTCATTAACAGTATAAAAGACACCTGCACACAACCTCAAACAGTCACACTCCAAACTCCACTATGGTGAAGACGAAAGAGCTGTCGGAGGACACCAGAAACAGAATTGTAGACCTGCACCAGGCTGGGAAGACTGAATCTGCAATAGGCAAGCAGCTTGGTGTGAAGAAATCTACTGTGG